ACATCAGAAAATCAATTAATGTAATCCATCACATCAACCGACAGAAGAATAAAAACCACATAATCATATCAATAGATACAGAGAAAGCATTTGACAAAGTTCAACACCCATTTTTGTTTAAGGCCCTCAAAATCCTAGGAATAGAAGGAACATACCTCAACATGGTAAAAGCCATATATGACAAACCCATAGCCAATATTATCCTCAATGGAGAAAAGCTGAAAGCCTTTCCTTTGAGATCAGGAACAAGACAAGGATGTCCACTATCACCACTGCTCTTCAACATAACATTGGAAGTTCTAGCCAGAGCAATAAGACAGGAAAAAGATACAGGAATCCAATAAGGAAAGAAATAAAACTGTCCTTATTTGCAGATAATGTGTTAATTTACCAGGAAAACCCTAAAAACTCCACAGAGAAATTAATCAAAACCATCAACCAGTTTATCAAGATAGCGGATATAAAATCAACACACAAAAGTCAAAGGCCTCTTATACACAAAAAATCAACCAGAAGAAGCAGAAATAAAAACAAAACATCCCCTTTTCAATTAAAACAAAAAGAATCAAATACCTGGGAATCAACCTAATAAAAGAGGTAAAAGACCTATACCAAGAAAATTACAAAACACTGTTAAAAGAAATACAAGAAGACACCATGAAATGGAAAGACATCCCCTACTCATGGATCAGGAGAATTAACATCATCAAAATGGCCACCCTACCAAAGCGATATACAGATTTAATGCCATCCCAATAAAAGTCTCAATGACTTTCTTCAAAGAAATAGAAAAAATATTGATGAGATTCATATGGAACAACAAAAGACCTTGAATAGCCAAACTCTCATGACTAAGAAGAAAAACAATGGAGGCATTACAATCTCAAACTTCAAGCTATACTACAAAGCCATAATAATCAAACCTGCATGGTACTGGAACAAGAACAGACATACAGACCAGTGGATTTGGATGGAAAACCCAAATATAAACCCATGGGTTTATGGGCAGCTACTCTTTGACAAAGGAGCAAAGAAGATACAATGGAACAAAGAATGTTTGTTCAGCAAATGGTGCTGGGAAAACTGGGAAGCTACATGCAAAAAAATGAAACTGGAGCACTACCTCACACCATACACAAAAATCAACTCTAAGTGGATTAAAGACATAGACATAGGAATGGAAACCATAAAATACCTGGAAACAAAGATGGGCAAAACACTACACGACATACACTTCAGCGACATCTTTGAAGATAGAGCATCCAATGCAATGATAGTGAAGTCAAGGATAAATAGATGGGACTACATCAAGTTAAAGAGCTTCTGTACAGCAAAAGAGACATTAAAACAACAAACAGACATCCCACTGATTAGGAAAAATTTTTCTCACACAAAACTAGCGATAAAG